TACATACCATCCATGCATATCTCTTTATGTCTGCACATGCGTTTATGTTTACATGTCTTATCGTGTTTGCATATTACTCTGCATGTCTGCATTCTGAAAGGGCATAACGAATGATAGAACGGAGCATTTGCTGCGAGGAGAGCAGATAGAAAGCGGTTGGATCGTTGTCGTTGAGCTTCGGCTCGTTTTTTTTGCATTTCTACCGGATTTGGACTTATCGGATTTGGAAAAAAAAAACACGTGGAGGATATACCACCTGCTAAACAGATTGATAGGTGTTGGTCGAGAACAAATTGATTAATTAAATAAATTGAAGTGAAGAAGAGTGAGAATCGTGTATAAGAGCTGAGATTAATTCGCTGATTTCAGTAAAAATGGAAATTGAGGTACGACAAGACAACGGATTGTTTTACAAGGTTAGTATGTTCATTTATTGATGAATTATGTTATGATGGAATGAGCAATGATTAAGATCAGCTATGTTTTGTTAAAGATTCTCATATGATTAGCTGTAAGTGATATATAGTGAATTTAGAATGATAGAAGTAATCGAGTTTTTTGCTGAAAAATACATTTTTAGCAAATAGCAAAATTTTTTTCCATGCTTTTTGATATTCACTTGGTTGTACTTATCTTTTGGTGATTTGATACTTATTTGCGTTTATTTATTACTTCCTTTCATTATATTAAGCTACTCAATTTTTTATTATCATACCCTGTAGGAATTTCACATTGTCAGTAATTAATTGATGCCATCTATTTGCGAAGATGATAAATTAGGATGATTGTGATGAAGAAGGGGATAGTGCTGGTCCTTTATTAATTGGTGTAAAAAAGATTTAGTGTCTTGATTTTAACAATAATTTAAATAACTCTAAGCTTTGATTTTTTGCAGGCTTTCGTGAAATCCATCAAGACAGATACTGTCATTGTGAGTTATGGGAACGATGCGAAAATTGAGGAGGTTTAGTTCATTTTTGTTTATATATTCACTGATGTTAAATGGCTGATTGTCTGCTGGATTTTAGAAATTGTTTTTTGTTGAAAAAGAAAATGGTATTGAGTTCCAATAAAATTTAGGTGAAATTTGATGATTGTCGCTTGCCACCACGTTCCGCAAAAGCTGAGACATTAAAAGTGGGTGATACTGTTGAAGCACTGATGAAGCAGGAGGATGATGCTGTCTTCGGTTGGCAGAAAGCCAAAATCAAAGAATTAAAGGTAAAAGTCTTGTTTTGCTTGTCTTGCTATCACGAAATAAATTATTGGATTATTCAAGTTTCCACTTGTTCGAACAAAAAACTAGAGCAATAATTGACAGAGATTTGTGCCAAATGATAGCTGACATGATTCGAGCTCATCCACCAAAAATCTGATTATAAATGTTTGATTTCATCAAGGTTCATCACGATCATGCTGTATTTGTACATGTTGTTAGCACACTGACAAGATGGGCGTATGACTTCGTTAAATCAATTTCAGCATTTTTAAATGATTCCTTGAATTTCCCCAGCGATGGTCGAGGATTTTTTCTTCCACCACTTTGTATAATAATCTGTTTGAAACGAAATTTCAGTAGATTTCATTAGTTAGAATGCTTTTTGGGGCTGAGTTGTTTTTCTTCGTAGCATAAACATATGATAAATTTGTAGGGGGATTTAGCGGCAATTGAAAGCGTTGAAGGGCCGCACCATATGGATATTGTTTCACTAGAACATATACGTGCGTTGCTCGTCAAATGTACTCCACTAAAAAAAAGTCAATTCAAACATGCTAAAATCACTGTACCTGAAGATCTCCGGGCATATTTCAAACGACCTGAATCATATGCTGATTTCGCAGCCACTGTCAAAAGTGTATTTGTCGAATATGACGAGGAAAATGGAAATCTTCTTCTCTCCGTCAGTTGTTTTTATAAATAACGGTCGTAGTAACAAAATTTTCTCATTAATAAGATTTTTTTCAATAATATTTAGAAAGAATCATTTTCGATAAATATCATGTTGTGCAAACTGATGGAGTATGGTTAGCAAATGATCGGGTAGATTTTTGTAACAGCGGAACCAGTGACTTTTAGAAGTTTACATTGTTTTTAGACATTTGAAGAGCAAGCAGTAAAACGTGCAACGATTCTTTCTGACATGTACTTCAAGGATTCTCGACAGAAGATGCAACTTTTGCAACGTCAAGAGGTTTATTTAAGAAGCTTGTCAATTTTTCTTCCTCTATTTACTAGTAGCTTTTTGGTGAGATTAAGTAAAGTTTGGTGTCACACACGTTTCAGTAATTCATGCATCATTGTTAGTGCAAACAGCGTAAGTCATTCATGAAGTCGTTAAAAAAGTGCTGATGATAATTTATTTGCTTATATTATGCATACGGAGAAGGGAAAGTAACAAAAAAGGACCTATTTTTCTTTTTTATGGTACATAAATTCAGGAAGCTGCTCGTTTGTTAGAGAACACATCGATGCATACGTCGGCTCATATGGAAGAATTTACGGTACCTTTCAACTTAATGGGTCTTGCGATAGGGTCACATGGAGCTAATATTCAAAGCGCACGAAACATTGATGGGGTCGAAGATATACAGCTCGTGGAAAATAACGATGGTCATACACCAGTACTTTTCAAAGTTAGCAATAACTTAAGCATCAAGTGGTTTATGAGTTATATCAGTTTATAGCAATATTTGGACAGGCTATCTTTCGTTATATTAAATTATAGTCTGTTAAGAAAATTCTGAAAAACTTGTAGGTATTTGCCCAAAATGCTGAAGCCGCAGCTGCAGCACGTTCACAATTGGAATATGCAGTGGAGTCGTTCGAGGTACCACGTGGAATGGTTGGCAAAGTGATCGGTAAATCGGGTAAAACGATTCAGGTAACTTCAGATTTCTACACAGAAAATAGTGTGTGAGCTCAGACTGTATTCGATATCATATTATGTTCATTGATTGTTTAGGATATCGTGGATAAATCAGGTGTTGTACGCGTGCAGATTGAAGGTGGTGATGATCAAAATCGAGTTGATGAGAATGTAAGATCGTTCTTGTTTTTTTGTTTTGTTTTATTCTTTCTCTAAATTAGAAAGTTTATCTGAATTTACTTTTATTTATTGTTCAAGTTAATACTTTCATTTAGCCTGATGAACCAGTGCCATTTGTTTTTACGGGTACAAAAGACGCAATTTCCATGGCAAATCTGTTGATCGAATATCATCTGCGCCATTTGAAAGAAATGGAGGAAATGCGATTGAATGTAGATGAGATGCAACGACAACTCTATTCCAGGTCGACTCCTCCTCCCACTGGAATAAATGGCAATGGGTAATTTAGAATTTGATGAAGCACAGCTGAAAAAATTTGATTGCAGCTTCTGATTAATTTAGGATTGGAAATTTGCACATTTCAGTCTAAAATTTTGCAAACTTGTGTGAATGTTGGCAAAATTTGGTGTATTGCTTTTTCCTATTTATTATGTGAGTTGTGAAATTAAAGTTGTTTCAAACGGAGAATTTTTGCATGTAAATGGGATATTTGGGAGGTGAAGCAGATAAGAATGGAACTGATTTGTCTTGGCAACAAATTACAGAACAATAAGCATAATTTTTTGCCTCCGTAAGGGATGCTCTTTACTTGACTTCAGATTAATTCTGTTATCTACTTGGCAAAAAAAAAATTCAATGTCATTTCTTTTAGCTATCGTTTTGAACGCGCTGGCTATGAAGGGGGAAATTTTGGAGGTGGACGTGGTGCGCCTTACAGAGGACGTGGACGCGGTGGTTCTTTTCGTAGTGGCTTTCGTCAAAATAGGGGTATATTTTACAAACATTTTCTGAGTTTTCTAAGAAATGGGATGCAATGGGATACTTTTGGGAATTCTCAATTTCTAAAATTTGTTCTTGATACTTAAAAACGTCTCACTGCAGGTGGTGGAGATCAAGATGATCGACGTCGTCCGTTGGATGATGAAAAAGGAGGCGAAAAAGAAGAAAACGTAGAACGAGATGCTCGCCGTATTGGTTCTGGTCGTATACGTGGTGGCCCTCGACGTGGAGGTTGGTTTATTGCACTTTGCAAAAATATATTCTAGACATTGTGTCTTATTTCAAGACGAGCTATCACTGTGAGAAATAGAATGAACTTCGTAGATGAAGTCAGTTTAACTGTGAAACTAAGGATCATGCCGATTGTTTGGAAAGTGTTCAAAAGGCCTTGGTTATTGAGAATAGTGAAAGTGATCATAAGTATATAGTGTTGAAGTTTATCAGCTCACGTTCTTCACTGACATTTCTTCATTAGCTTTAGATGATATAGATCTGGATTGCCAGAATCAGGAGTCGTTTTAATCAAACATGGCTAATATATTTTCATTTCAGGCAGGGGCCATCCAGGACAGGTAGTAAATGGAAGTGGTTAAGACATGCGTTAGAGTTATTATGATCAAATAATGGGACTTGTTTAAAGAATCAACCTCGAAATTGTAGTAAATGTAAGAGGAAGAAATTTTACTAGTTATATCGTTCATGTGCATTTTTTTTTTTTTTTGCTGTTTTTGTTATGCACTAAGTTTTATTGGTTGTTTTTTCTCTTTTTCGTAAATTCATCGCACTGGTTACCATCAGAACAAAGTCATTCTTTCCAAATTAAGACGTATTAGAGTTCCATCTGTATGTGTGTTTTTCGATTGTTTTGTTTGTTTTACAATTGCTATTTATAGTATCCCAGAGACAGTGTGTTTCATAGTTCAAGGAAATTGTAAAAAAAAAGTTAATCCTATTGCATTTTTGATGTAATATTCATTCCACTTATAGCAAATTCTTTTCTGATTAATTTTAAGAAACAATAATGTATTTTCCAGCTGCAAATTCTCTAGCACACAGTCGCTGTCATTTGATTTTAAAGCATTTTTTGCTTGCAATGCTTTTTTGTGTTTTCGAGTTTGTTTTTTTCTTCATTACATGATTTTCTGTTATTACAATTATGCAGTATATGCAGATTCACGGTGATCTCTTTCTCACCACTCCTCGTATTCTTAAATCCGAAAAGTCTCTGGAATGTTCCAGAGCTTTCGCCAGTTTCCTAGTTGATTTTGCCTTAGTTGTCCAGCCGCATTTTAAAATAGCTTTCAATATAATCCAAATTAATCCAATTTCGAGAAATGTTTGATGGGATCGTTCTTTTTTTTTTTTGCTAATAAGATATGAAATAAAGTTCGTTCTTATTGTGTGGTCGATATTATTCATCGATAATGGAATTGAGTAGGCATCAATTGTCTCAACTGCACTCGAGCATTGTAGTGTCACGCTTCCCATAATTCCTTTCGACAATGGCTGCAAAGAAACTATTGTAATTGGACACATCAATTAGGACTGGGGAAATCGGTTGCAATCGTGACAAAGTTTGGGGACGAGTTTTTACATTAGTAGCGGTAATATAATGCCTTATAAAATGTTTTAATGTATTAATTTTATAGCATTAAACACACATAATTTCAAATAACTTCGTCCAAATTTAGCTGAAGAAATGTGAGATTCGAATAAAATACAAAACAGTGCTGTGGAAACCGATCCCCAACAAAAATTAAAAAAACCGGCCTTGTAGACTCACAGCAAAATTAAACTCAAAAAAAGAAATTTTTTCAAAGGAGGCATGGTAAAATGAAAACAAATATGAATTTTCCATAAAGAACATGAAACAAATGTGAAATGAGTTAAGATACACAAATAAAACTCCACATTGTACTAATAAGTTGTGATAACAAAAACAAGGTTTACAAATATCTGCAAAAGCTAAAGTTTAGAAAACAGTCGTTTAAATTATTATTAACTCACATGCAAGGATATTAACTCTTTCCTACATTGTATCATCCAATAAAGGATTTAGTCAGCCATCCTGATTCATTACCTTAGAAACTAAATGACATCAATTATTAACAAGAAATTTTTATAAGGTATGACAATGAGAAATTAAGCAAATTAATATAACGGAAGGAAGTAATAAACAACGCAAATGAGTTTCAAATCAAAATGGCAAGTCGGAAACAAAAAGTTGTAAGCACCAGCAATTGAACAACAGAAAATATGGGAAAAGAGTCGAATTATTCTCAACGGAATACTGAGAAGTATCCCACTGAAAATCGGTTAGTTTTACTATCCAAAATTCATTATACACCTTTACAGTTATCCATAAAGAAAACCTTACATGAAATATAGCTGGACATAACCTGCTACATATAGCTAAACATACAAAAGATAAACCAAGAATTTTCAAAAAAAAAAAGCAATTAAAGTTCTCTGGTAGCGACTATTATCCTTAAAAAATATTATCATTACTGTTATGTAAAAAATATTATCACTACATGATAAAAAATTGTTTTCACGAGAATGCAGATCTAACTAAATTTTATTGCAAACATTCCAAAAGAAAAGTAAAAAAAAAAATAGACTTTCACTATTTTTAAACAACAGAAAAAGACTCTACGTTATAACTTCTAATACAATCATACTTTAGAAGATGTATTCCTTTTAAAAAAAAAATGAAAATAAGTTACAGTGAATGCTTATGAGAAACACTATTCTTCTGTTGCTGAGCGATAGTATGCACAGATCGCAGTATAAGTCCTTCTGAATGTTCTTCTGCTTCCAGCACTGCTCGTGGCCCATAATCTTCACCGACGATGAAGTTATGTGTCCATTCCCAGAATCACTGATAGCAATCATTCTTCGATGCATCACTATTATTCGGTGGACTTAAACATTTCAAATAATCATTCACAAATTTTCCACAGAAGAAATATCACTATAACAGTATATGATCATCATTAAATACATCTCAAAAATTTTAAAACTCCTAACCCGCACAACTACTGACTTTATCTACTACAGCTTCCCTTCTCAGTCTTTCTCATCAACATATTCTTGGAATAAACTAAAAAAGATACTGTTTCTTTGCAATAACTGCCTTCCAGAAATTTCAACAACATTGCGCTTTCTTGAACTATTCGCGAAAAATCGATAATCCCTGAGATATAGAATTGAATGCATACAGTTTTCCATGATTTCTGGACTAGCACATAATTCATGGGTCTAAAAACAGTAGTAAGGGATAAAATCAGTACTAAAGATTTGTTTAACTTGAACCTGTAATTCCGAAGCATTCAAAACTCAAACAACAATTATTTGAAAATAAATTCTAACAGTCACATTTCTTTATAGACTAATTAAATAGAGGGAGTGCGTTCACTTAGGTTTTAATTTATACACCGCTAAATTATGAATAAACAGTCAAGATTATCTTGTCATTCATTGCTAACCCTATAATCACAAATTTAAGAACAAAAAAACCAACTTATCAGAAATGAACTAATTCGCATTCCACGACAATAGAAAAAAGATGGTAATACTTCATCACTCTCCTCAATCACTGCAACTTCTTCCCTTTTGCGAAGATAACATGAAATCGATCAGAGTGTAGCTTCATCAAACATAAATACCTAAAAATAAACTCCAGACAATTTTTTAAGAAAAATGTAGAAAAAATGTTCTTCTAATGATATAAAGCTCCTTTAGTTTTTGAAATACTTTGATTTCGGATAAGAATGCAATATGCACCAAAAATCAATCGATTTATTATCGATATCTAACTATGAAAAATTATTCTCTCCAATGTGGACAATAAAAAGTGGTCAGACATTCTAATTCGTAGACATCCTTTTCCCACAACAACAATAAATGTTGTTTGCTATGTATTGACCTCCACACTATCAGCAAAAAATAACCAAGCCATATTTTCTACTAGATAAAATTTACCCACATAAAAACATTGCTTAGCATCCACTCAGATAATAAACTTACTCTGGCAGGGAAAACTTGTGCAATTTTTCTATCAGGTGTTTCATATACAAATTTAATAGCTTTGCACATTTTTTCAGCTGTTGTCATTCTTTATCGAAAGAAAGCGCAAAACATCATCACCATTTAATAATATCGCGTCAAGAATTCGAACTGCTGCCCGTTCACCTTCCAATTTCCCTTTGTGTCCAACTGTAATGAAACGGTACACTACAAAACAGTAGAGAATACACATCTAGACAGTCAATCTTAAGATTTTTATCTTATTTAGAGTAGTGGATGAAGTAAAAGAAAAAAGAAGTATAGATAAGAATAAGAACTACATCAAAAATTTCAAGTAATTTTTGGGTATGGGCATTTTGTTAGCATCGTATGAATGAACAGAGAGAAAAGCTTTTGTAAGCTTTAGTAATCTGTACAAGTAACACCGTATCTTGCGGTATACTGACATTGAAGGGAACTCTTTCAAAACTTTGCTGAGAATATGGTGAATAAACATAACAGTTTCAAACAATTTTCGGCTCTTCTACTCAATGGTGTGACATCTATTAATGCAAAATTCAATACAAATCCAAGAGAATTATAATGATGTCAACGGAAAGATAAACGTTCTAAACGCAAAGAAATAATTATTAAAAAATCTTGAACTTTTGCTTCATTGGGTATGTATCAGTTAACTATTGGTAAAACAGAACATTCGCCGAAATATTATAGAGGATTCAGTTGAAGGAAAGATCGACATCTTGAATAATTAATTACTTTTCATGAAACTAACAGTTTATGCTACAATTCTTTAAATATCGGTAATTACAATTAAGAAGATCTTAGATGCAAAAACTTTTTACTATAACATACTTTAATGCGATTTTCTTACGAATACTTTGCACACTTTAACACATAAGCTCTTGGTAACACATAATCTCTAAAACATTTCAGCATCAAAAATCAAACAAAAACGACTCACAGTCGAGATCAGAACTTTTTTCGTGATGACGCACATTCGTAACTCGGCATATCGCATTCGACCTACTCCAGATAACAAAACATTCTTCGTGAAAGCCGGTGGTTTCTGTTGTAATTCTTTAATATCGATAATCTAAAATTAAGAATGCTTCATATTATATAATGGGAATGATTTTCATGTACTTTCATATACATGTTCAAGTATTTTCTTGAACAGCAGTAGACTCTTAAGTGAAAGAGTAAGGCCGCTATAATTAAACTTTGACAAGACGAGTGATACCTGCAAACAATGATTCATTCGTTTCGTAGGTTTTTTTTTTTGGTAATATCCGGGATCTCCCAATATTGCAAGCATTCCCTTCTTAGTTTCTCTCGACCTCAATCAAGCTGACCAATATTCTGAGCAAAAATTCGATATTTATTCAGATAACTTATCTGTCTTTTTATCATCCTGCAATGACGCCATATACATCACTTAGGTAAAGTCATTCTACAGATATGCATTTCAAAATTGCATTATTAATAATCAGTAATTATAAAACGAGAAAATTATTCGGATTCTTCGTAAAAGCTCCTTTTCGTAAGCACTACTGTCACAATCGAAATTTGAAGACATAAGAAATAAGTATTTCCAATTTTTGAAATTAGAAAGATAGAAGATATACTTTTCTTTTTCAATTTCCAGTGGGTTATACACTTATTCATTATTCCCTTACGGGATTCCAATAAAAGTTCGAAAGTAAGCGACATCTTTCAATATAAAGAAAAAAGAGATATTAAAATTAATTTCAAAAATAATTTTTTTTTTTCAAAAATAATATGATAAAATGCATCAGTTGTTCTCCAGACTAAAATGCTAGAAATTTTAATAAGCATTGATGTTTAAAAATAAACCTTTCATTATATTCCAATATATATGCCATAAAAATTTTATCCGAATAGATCATATTTTCAGAAACAACTTCTATTACATCTCGTACTTTAGTTTCCCAGAACAAATCCAATTCAGTATTAATTTTAATCATATATTTTTTCATTTCTGAGACGTAACATGCCAAAAGATTATCACAAACAATATATCTGCAAAAAAAAAAAAAAAAAATTAATAAAAGCAAATTCGCGATGTCATTATTAATATATTACTCAAATACTTAAACAGATCAACAATACATTTTGCGTGATTCCAATATCAGTTTTTGGAAAAATATCCCGAAACTATTTGATTACTCCACAGAATTAGAACACCCATGATACCACCAAAACATAGCATCATGAGCAAATGTAAACTGTAAAACAAAGAAAGAAGCAACCTTTCCGAATTAGTTGGACAACTAGTGATATTCTTTCAAATACAATATATATCAAATAGATAAGGCCGATACTAAACTGTGTGAAAATGTCGAATAACTTACAGACAAATTTCTCACCACTTCCTGTATCATGGTTTTTCACACGCAGAACTGAGAGGCAAGTCAAAAACTGACATAGATAAAGATGTTTTGATAAAATTTTCTTAAAAGAAATCTACAAATTTTTAGTGAGCATAGAATTGAGTTTCCCATAGATCTCTTCAAAAAAAATTCTCAAGTTTAAATTACAAGAAATTTCATAAGAATATACTTACAACAAATCCAAGGAGAATTACTACCAATTTGTATTGCAGTTTGTTCGTAGAATTATTAAGATCTAAAGATTAAAAAATCTTGCCTGAATATTTTCTTGTTGATCGACACAAAAGCCACTGCCATAACTAAATCCACACCAACATTATTGGTATCGCGTTTCACAATTTGAGTTATTTCAAAATAAACTAAATTTTAAACTAATTTACTCGAAACTAAACCAATGATTTCAAAACAAAAAATGGCATTGGATTTTGCAAAATGATATGAACTAGCGAAACTATCACCAATATTCATAATTTTTCTTTCTTACATGACCAAATATGAACTGACATCTTCAAAAAAGGTGATATTGTCTGGCTTGGTGATATCACCATCGTTGTGTTTATCACAATAAAGCTTGAAATAGGAAGGTGAAACGGCTGTGAAACGTTTCAATTTGAAATCATCTTTTCCTGTGAAGAGAAAAATTATTCTACAAAACAATCTCCATTATGTTTTTCTTATTTAATGAATAATCCATTAAAGAATTCCAGCAACATTTATTTTTTTCCGATTCGTCATACATTTCTCATCATTTGCACATTATGATCACAGTTGCCTAACACATTTTGGACTAAAAATATAAAATATTTTGAAATAAATTCAAAAAATTCTCAACTTTTAGCATCATTCCAAAATCTTTTGCGTTATAGTAACCCTTTCGCCATAACACATATTCTGTGAATTCACCAGGACCAGCGCATATGTCAGCAAAATAAAATACAGGCGATAATCGACCAGCATTCTTTCCTGGTCCACATTTCTCACTTTTTATTTCCACATTCATAGGGTTTCTAATTTCAACGTTATCTGGTTTTTCACCCATTAATAACCAATCATAGATACGATCTAAATTTGCCATTTTCATCGCTGCCCTTAAAAAAATATATTTTCTAAAAAGAATTCAACAATTTTGAAATATGGTAGATGATTTACATAAATCCTTCTAGATGATTTTAATTGTATCAAAAAGATTGAGACAGACTTCTTCGCATGCAAAAAAGAAGAGGACATAGAAAAAATTTTTAGCGTCAATAGAGTTCACCAAAAAAAAAAAAAAAAAAAGAAAAAACAGAGAAGTCTGAATGAAAAGCACTGCTAAAACGAAGGGACAATATTCTGTGTTAACAAAAACATATTTTTTCACCAAAAACAAATTTAGCATCCAATATTTTTTCATCAAATTGCTATCACAATATTTGTATTCGCCATCCAATGTCTCTTTTCGCTAGAATATATGACATAAAATTTTATAAAATTCAGAAAGACTTAAAACTGTAAATTCTTTCTAACTGACTTTTTCCATCTTTCATTCACTTTATAAAAAGTAGACTTACGTTTTCATAATCCAGTCGTCTTGATCTTGCAAATCTTATTTCTTGAATAAGATGAACTTCTCGTGTTTTTTTGTGAACTTCTCTCGAATGTCATCAGGAACAGATAACCACAATACATTTTCTTCCGCAAAATCCCAACTACATTCCAATCTCGAGCAATTTTCTAAAAATGAATGAGTAATTGTTTATTTCAGATTAAAGTGAGAACTGAATAATTTTAATCAGTAATAAGTCAGTTTTTTTTTTTTGATTCAAACAATCACTACAAATTTTTTATACAAAAATAAGATATTATATTGTGGATATAGGAAAAAAATCAATTCTTACGATCACCTGATTCGCAGGCTGTCCAAAACCTTCGCGACCTCGTTGCGTGGAGAATGGTATCAGTTCTGTGACTCCTTGGCTGCTCTTATCAAGCCCACCACCATCATATCCCATTTTAGCTAATAGTGCTGCTCCTCTGTTTTCATGAGTTTGCTTTGGCTGAAATGTTTCGGAAGCACCGATGAGATATATTTTTCTAACCCGAATAAAAGGAGCGAAACATCAGAGAAGAATTGTCATTTCAGATACGAAGTCTAGGAAATAATGATAATCAAGAGTTACGATTTTCAGAGTTGAATAAATTAAAATGTACTAGTCTAAAAGTAGTTTGCAGTAAAACTTTTTGATAACATCTTATTCCTTCCTTACTGTTATGAAGAGATCATTTTAGGCTAATAAATAATCTTAAAAACAGTTAAAAAAAAGAAACACAAGTGGAAGGAATAAACGAATTCTTTCTTTAAAGAAATGTCAAGAATGTATGAGATTTTAAGATAACGCGCTAAAAAAAAAAGCTGTTTATGAAAAATCTCTAACTTACTTTTTTACAGAAGTCAACAAACTCGAATTTTCTTAAAGCTAACGATTTTAGAGGGAACTTCGTATTCATGTCAGTCAGCTTTTCAGTATTTTGAAGTGGTTTTTTCATCGGTTTCATTTCTTTAAGCTCTTCTTCAAAACCATCTCGAATATCTTCCAAACAAGTAAACACTAGTCGACGTATCATCTGGAATGTCTATTTTACAAAGTGTAATACAAACAGATGCTCCTATAAACATTTGAATAAAGAACAGATAAAGTTAGCAATTACTGTTTTCTAGTTAGCTTCCTTGTTATGTATTCTTTCGCAAGAAGAATGAGGTTTTCCCTTAAATAAATAAGAATGAGGACGGAAAAGAACAACTAATTTACAAACTTTCAAATTCTAAAGAAAACAGAAAAATCCTCAACTTAGTAAGGAGAACAGGAAACATTCCTAAACTAATTTCAAAAAAATCACACCAAAGGAAGTGTGAATTACAGTCTTCTGCAACAATATTCTTGAAAACTACCAGTAAGTGACATACATAATAAACAATAATGAATTTCTAAATTAAAATATACAAAATAAGGCAAACTCTCCGGATTTAAATAACAAAAGGTAATTTCAAAACTCACTTTTGAGAATAACTTTATTCAAGTAATGGATTCCAAATCCAAAGAAAAACAGATTTATAATAAATAACTAAGAAACCTAGAGAAATATAAATATGCAAGCTTAATAAAAAAACTCAGACCTGCTGTTACCACCATCCATTATGTATCTTAAAACATCTTCCGACATTTCATTAACAAATGTCAATATCATAATCAGCGCAATATATGTATCACTAACGATAGAAAAAAAAATCGCATCTGAATTATTCAATTACTAATGATACTTAGATCGAATAATTGAATAATCTGCATTCAAATGAAAACAAGTACAAGCTATTATAAAGATAAACAACGTGTTCCGTAAGCACCACGTTTTTTGATGCTTAAAATTATTAGCATAATCGTGATGATTGCTAGTCAATAAACATAAACTGAGTTAAATTCTCAAGAATCCTTACCGCAAACTGCGTCATACTTAACGCATATTGTCCTTTCTCTGGTAGAGTCACTGTGGAAAGAATAATTTGAGATTAAAATTGGTGCAAAGAGTTCCAAATGTTTTAAGATATTTGGTGCTACGAATAGAATAAATATTTCTTCGATAAGCACAATGACAGGGAAAATATGATCGATAATGGAATGTTGTCAGATGGAACTAAGTTGCTCAGGTAGATTCCATGAAATATATAACTGACAAAGAAGGCTCAAGTTTTTTCTTTCAATTTCTTACTCATGGATTTGTTAAAGAAAGAAATGCTAACCTTATCTCTAGCAATGTTAGAAATCTGAAACATTTCTATTTTGCAATTTTAAAATATATAATTAAAATGCCAAAATTTGTATCTTTGCTTTATGAAGAAATTCGGTTAAGCAAACATTTGCTAGTCAGCCTATTCCTAAAAGCTACTATAGTTGAAAGAATATGAATAACAAAAAATACGAAGTACACATATGATTCTGAATTACTGAAAAAGTTGTAAATTAAGTTGCTTTGATCTGTAAGTTAATATATGCCCATGCAATTTTTTCTTTTTTTAGGCATACAAAAAAGACAACTACTTCTTCGTTGCTTTTGTCTAGCTGAATTTCAATTTTTGAATTACTTAAAGAAGTTCTTCAGATTATACTATCTAAGCTACTGCTATGTTCGCAATCTGTCAGCATGTATGTTTATTTAACCTCACGCAGAGACGTCAATTCCTGCCTCAACCTGATAAGTCGACAGGTGGCTTAGTCTTTCGGTGACAAGGAACCATCCTACACAAATGTACCGACATGCCAATACATCATCTAATAAAGATATTCTCCTTGTCATAGTCCTGTATTTCGCGCTTACGCGGTAGTACATCAGTTAGAGGTACCACGTACGAATGTGATTACTACTTTTCAAATTATTCCTCATATATACAGGTTTACGTATCTAATGTGCCCGTAGTTATTGCTTATCATTCATTTCCATATTTAATTTTTCATATTCAATTATGTAATGCCACTTTGTTGCCTTTCATTCCAGCCGTTTTATTTCTTTTTGATTTAGTGAATTTTATTTAACACTGATGTTTGTTTGTCTTATAGCAGATTTTCATGAAAGACAGAATATAATACTATTGTAGATCAAGTTATATCTCGCAATACATATCATTTATGTCCAACTTCTTATGTTGTCAAACGGATCACTGTGAATAAAAAATCTATCAGCATTGGGAAATGTTCGACATATCTTTTTCATCAGCTATGCACCAACTTTTTTTTGAATTTTAAATGTCATCGAATGATGACATGTTAGTGAGAAAAGTCGAACAACAACTAAAGAATGAAAGTTTTCTTTCTGCTATGGGTTGCTTGTTACCATTGCTGATATCACCAATCGTAAAGATAAAGGAGAGAGAGCCAGGGCCTATCACTTCGTGTATTTGCTGCCAAACAACGGGATCACATATTTCGATCAATTTTTTTCGACAAATTATCGTTTCGGCAAAATATTCATGAAGAATGTCTTTTCTGAATTTAATTCAATTTTCTATTTGGATGTAAGCATCTTTATCAATAATACTATATCAGCTGCAAAACAAAGTAGAAACAAGGCATATTCTCTAGCTGGAACAGTAATGGAATTTTTCAGCTGGTAAAGGGAAAGTTTTTTTTATTGTTTCTCTGTTTAAGACAGGTTGAGATTCATAAAGTTACCAGTTCATAAAATGAGTGGAAAAATAAAAGAGATGGATGGAAAGAGGGAGAAAAAGAGAGAAGGAAATAGACAAAAACACTCAAAGCTTGAAAACTATCGGTATCCTTTAAAAAGTTGAAATTTCATTGGGACAAGGCAATTTAATGTAGGGATAAGAAATTTTAAGAAAGATATATACATTGGAAAAAGTGCGAAAAATGTCTGGAAGCAGTTAAATGTTAGAAAAGGTTGACAATAATTTATCAATTTATAACTTGCTAAGGATGTTTCTTATCACCACTGATTTGATATCACGAATGGGAATGATAAGGACTCAGTTGAGGTGTTTCTTTCAAAGTTTTACTATATTAGCAGTAAATGCAAATGGAAGTGAAGAGTAAAATTTTCAAAATGATCACATTAGGTCACTTTTACTAATGTTTTCGAGGATATTGCATTATTTTCGTATGAAAAGGAACCGTCCGCAAAGTTATCTTTAACAAACAACATTTCCACTGGTAATGAAAAAAGTAAGTGATGCTATATATTTGTCATCTTTTCTCTATGAGAAGAACGAGATTCTTTCAACTTTGAAATTTGCAATTGCAATGCTAAATACTTATTATTGAATCTTACAATAAATACGTAGTTCAACTTTGCATTGCAAACTTCAAGTATAATTATATAATTTATATAGAACAAAAAATTTCAGATCTTCACTTGATTGGAGGAGTTGATCGAAGTCGCAGTATAGTTAATAATGCTGTGGGTTAGTTCCCTTTTGAACACTGTTACTATGTTTCATTAATTCCACATCAACGATTATCATTCGAACTAATTGAAGGAAGATGTTTTTTCATTTATTACTTTGGTGTTTTGTATTTATTTTAATACAGGATAATTATATTCAGTAAATCAAATTCAGATAAAACTATTAAATTACTAAAATAGGTTTAAAAGAAGTAGCTCCTAAATGAAGTTAATGCTACATAATGATGAAAACCATAGATGCATGGAAATTTAGGAAGTAATGGTGAATTTTCATTGCAGTTTCACCTTTAGAACCCGAAAAAAAGAAAAAAAATGGTCTGCAGATTGCTGTAGCGAAGAATCTTCATGAGGTGTTATTTAGCATCTTTTGTTTTCTTTTCAGAGCTGTGTTGAAAAGCTTCTATTGCGTCCCAAAATTTCTAGTAATAATTTCAAAAATAATTATATTTGTGGCTATTAAATCAGACGCCTCATCATTCTTTTCAGGATTTTCAACTCTCTACTTCAGAAAAAGTAATATGTGCAGACGTTATCTATTATTTTTACAGAATCGAAAAATTATGTGAAATGATACTGGTCAAATTGTAAATAAGTCGTAAATGAAGAGTCTTTTAACTGATGATAAAAAGCCTGCTAGTCCAATGCAAGTGAGCATATCGGAGGGCACTAGTAATATGGATATCAGCAAGCGAAACTTGGCAAATAATGAAGCAGAATTGCTGAAGGAAGATAAAAAAGTAGACGGATTATTACTTATGATATTCTTCATGAGATTCAAAATAAAAATGTGGGAAAGAAATTTTAAGCAGATATTTGAGAATAAATTCTGCTTTCAATTCTTCATCATTATTGGGTCAGATAAACAAAACTAACAGATGAATTTTGCAGAACAAATAATATATTGTTTAAGTGCTTCCTGAAAATCTAGAAAGTACTATACATATTACTGCTCGAAATTAAACAGTAACGCTAACAAAGAAAGCAATCAGTTTCGTTATGAGAATTCAACTTTCTTTTAAGAAATAAATTCCGTGCCACAGTTTCTTTAATCTGTTATCCTCTCTTGAAAATCTTTTTTAGCTAAGTAAAAATCTGCATGTTATTCAATGAATGAAATCAGATTTGAATATTATAGACATTAGCTGCAACTCAAACGATATATTCAGCACAGGCAATGATTCCAAAAAAAAAAGGAGTGCAAAAAATCTTGCCGTCAAACGTATTAATCAGTTATATTTAACAAATATTTTAAATTTACAGAATGCAGTTGAAAAATGCGGGAAATATCTTCGAATAAGGAAATATGTTTCTGAATGGGGTTATCTTTACACTGAATATGATGTCTGTAAAGAGAATTCGAATTCATACAGATTAGTTGCAATAAAGATAAGCAATCTACATGAATTATTTCATCTTTTTTAGTGCTGAATATACCGCTTCAATAGAAACGAAGTTGTTAGCGATAATAATTACTCGTCATTTCTGGTCGAAAAGGAAAACATACGTGCGTTGAACAAATCATCAAATGAAATTGAAGATATAACTGCACCAAATAGCTCGAGTGAAGATTCTGTTTACATCAGTACCGCAGATTCGGCAATTGAAATATTGAATGACATTGAAAGAAGTGTTCTGGTAAGTTTAATTTTTTTAACATCTTCGAAATATATCGCAAATTTTTTTAACTGAAATAGAATGTGAGATAATACTGATGAATTGTTCAAGTGATAAAAAGTAACATATCTTTTCCTGCAGTAATGCGATAGATGAAAAAGCTCTGTTGATTTTCAATTTATTTAAACTGATCCTTTGCGTTGCTCAGCAATCTTATGACTCCATTTTCTGTCCGTTTCAACTTTCATCGAACATCAGTCTATTGATATAACAAAGATATTATTAATTTAAATTTAGTCCCTAATAATTTCAAGAAAGAGGCATTACTGCAGCAGTATTTCCTGTAATGAGTGGTAAAAAGGTATGTTTAGTCAATTATTTTGTAGAAAAGGAATAGTTTCTTTCCAGATTACCACAAATAAACTTGCCGCAATATCGATTCATGATGTTTCTGAATTTCCATCACCTAACTTTTCAACATCGGAACCTGCATAGAAAGTTAGCTTGTATTATTAATATATTAGCAATTACAAGCGATTTTCACAAATTCAAAATTGTTTGCTTTGTTATAACCGAATTCAATCCTTAATATTAAAGGTTAAGAAATATTCTTTTCAATGATAAATGTGAGACTGGTTACATCTTAATGGATTGAGAAATTATTTTGAGAACCGAGGTCGTCTGATGAAAAAGGCAAAGAAGCACTGCCTTTTGTTTTCAGATTCCAGAGACCTTATCGAGATTGGAATTGGTTACAAAATTTGAAGGTAATTAAATGACTTGTTTTTCAAACTATATATATAGTTATTATAGATATCTGATTATAAATACCATTATATATTATTATAAATATCTGGTTTTAGAATCTCAAACAAAGTGTGAATTTGTCGAAATTGCCAGACTGTGAACGACGATTGCTAGAAAAAATTAAAATGTTGGAAGAAAAATTAATTAATCGGGATGCATTTGGAAGGGACGCAAATGTCGCTCCAAATGGTTTGATCTATATTACAAATTTTAACAATAACATACTAAGCTTTTTGTTATCATTGCAAGTTCGAAAGCACTGAAATGATATAGATTATGCTCACTGCTAATATTTAGCGATATACTAGCAATCGGTTATAAATTTGTTTTTAAATAAGGAAATTCTTGTTGCTTGATGATTAACTTCAATAATTTTAAGCAAGCATAGCAAAGATGTGGGATTATTGCTGAGGAAAATGAAAATGTTGCCAATGATTTGGCAATCTAAATGATAAAATAGAATTTTCAATCTCTGACACGCATAGTTAATGATATCTTGTTTCTCCATAATAAACAGATGGTTCTGAGGGGAGATCAGGAAGCAGTATTTTACATTACTGAATTTTTTTTAGTAAAGCATATGTGATTTTGCAGAACTTATTGAAATTGAAAGGGAAGAAGATAGTGTCGCGAATTATAATTTCGCGAAAACTTCTAATCAATTTCATAGCATCATAAATCATCTCTCCTTTTTAAATTGTAAACAGTCCTACGGTATTCATACATGTAATTTTAATCTCCTTTTTGTAAACACCTCCAATTCTTCATGCATGTAATTTTTTCTGTAAAATTGAAATTAGCTTTTATTTTAATCTTTTCTTTGTAAACACCTCGAATTCTTCACACATGTGATCCTAGACACGCCCAATCCTCACTCATATAAATTCAATTCTAATAAACAAGAAGGTATCATTGTTATTATTGTCGACTACTACTCTTTAACCAATTTCAATTTCTCCGGTCTTCTTCTTTGTTATAAATTTCTTCTCTCTTTTTATTGCTCGGTTTATTCATATACGTTTTCGAAAAATAAAGGTTTATTAATTCCTACTGTATTGAACTATTCGAATATCAACCAGGCAAACCTTTCACGACACCAATGGCTGGAAATTGAAATTTCTCGAAATGAAGTTCTTGGTGTAGAAAAAGCAGATTGTACGAAGATCTTCGTGATTCTTCTCTCAAACTTTGATCAAAGATGTATTTATATCTCTTCTCTCGCATTCTTTAATTGTCAATCTTTCATGAAAGCGCCACTTTTCATTTCAGCCCCACATCCTTTGCAAACCACTATGAACTGAAAAGGCCTAAATTAATAAACGCTCGAAAGCGTTAAAAATTTTTTTCTGTGTAAATTGAACTTGGATTAGCTTTGCGATAATCTAGTACATGTAATATCAGAAGTGGATACACATATGCTAAAGAAAACTAACTTTTTGAATTTTCTAGTGCACAAATACTATTTGAAGGTAAGTTTAAAAGTAAGGGAAGCAGAAGATTTCCGAAATACTTCCTACCAGAAAATGCTGCTTAATAATTTTTTTTAATATGTAGAGAGGTTTAACGACCATATGCAATAAAATATAAAAGAAATTGCCGTTAATGAAAACAATAAACAATAGTATCGATCCTCACTGAATGAAAAAGGATTGGATGAGAGAATTAAACTTCGGATTCACATATAAGCTAATTATTGTTGGTTATACCGCGTTGTATGCAGTATTCGCTAAAATTTTAACCTTTTATATCTTTCCCACTTGCTTTTTTCAATTTTCTTTTATGCACTGACATTCTGAATGAAACAGTCTTTGTAGAAGTCAAATTCAAATTACATCGAAAGCAATAACATAGCTTCTTCTTCGAATCCCGAATCCTACAACTGATAGGGAATTGCCATAATCATCTCGCGCCACTTGGACAATCTCGTTTGATGGAAAAAGTTCACCAATCAAGAGAATGGAAAGTTAGAAAATAAAACTGGCAGAAAGAATGTCTTTGAAATCGATTAAATTGCTTATTCTTATCAAATAAAGAAGCATTTAAAATCTTAAAAATAATGTAAAACTGTTACTTCCAATGCCTGTGATGCATTGCTCGTCATTTCTGCTGCAAACGGTGCTGGAATATCAACTTCAATGCAATTTTTGCATAGTTCTGGAAATGGTGTATCATGCGATATAATATCGCTTCTTCTTTCCATTTCTGCTAACCAGAAATAACCAATTATATCCTCATAAACTGCAAAGGTTAAAAATATCAGGATTGGACTTAAGATTAATTTTCGTCTATGAATCTCACTTTCAAAAACATAACTAACTTTTCTGAATCACATAAGTTGATGTTTGATAACGTCTGAAGTAGTTGTTGGTTGCATTTTTTAAGTCTATAATATTATGTGTAATTGTATTACGCACTCATTTGGATGAATATACAACTCACACGTTCATATTTCGATACGTCATAATACTTATCGTCTACAAGTACTATTCATTACCAGTTAAAACCGATTTGTTTCCGCAACAACATTACAATTTCGCTGGAATTTCAAGCTTTATGAGCTGGTAAACTGACACACCGTCGCACTGCCGTTACGAATATGAGTGCAACAATGAGAAATCATGCCGCAATGTCACTGATATACACTTTTCAATAGTCTTCGATAAATTCACTTTTATGGTACACAATAAAAATTCAACAACGTTTTTATTCAAACCAACCAAAAAAGAACATGATGACAATACTGATCCCACAAACCTGTAGATGATAAACAAAAGCTAAATTTCCAATCATGAACAAGGCCGTTTTCACTTGATATTTAATAAAAAAGCATTGAGTGATCATATGATATAAAAAGTTGAATTTTTGAATAGCCGAACTGCATGAAATAATCCAGCCTTAACTCACAATGATGACATATTCGTATGGTTCACAAAAATGTGACAATGAAGCAATTAGAAAATTAACTTGAACATTAAAAGCAAAAACTGGATATAAACAGTTATCCAACAGCAGCTCTAAGTGATTATTTTCAACTGTTTTCGGTCATTTTAACTAAAAGTCATTATAAATTTTAGGAAAGATGGAGAATAAAATGGGAGTGATGCCAAAGGGAAGATGCAAAACCACAAATAATAACAACTCATATTCGAGAATAACCCAAAAGAAGCAAATTGTTCATTAAATTTGTCCATATCCTTTTTTTACAGAGAATCAATTAAAAAAAAAAAACAAAAGTAAAAAAAAAACTGAAAATATCTAAACTCCCGTTAAAATTATGATGTTTTTAAAATGTTTGACAAATCGCAAAAGTCCGGGAAAAAGATAATTGAACATGACCCATTAAAGCGGTGTGACCAACTTGCAATTGCTTAAAAATTGCAACATGAAACCTAACGGTAACTTGCAGTGATCTTATCTATTCGCTGAGTAAGAGATATCGCAACAGAGAATAGCAATGAACATAAAATGGCAGAATTTTAGGAAAAAGACAATAAACCTGAGTGGGGCAGGGTGTCGTGTAAGAGATGCTAATCTTTTTTAAAAAAAAATTGAAGCTGAAAAGTTAAAATAAAAGAAATAAGTCGACGATTTGTTCCTTCACGGATTTTGACCCTTCGAAGATGCCAACACCGATGCTGCCTCCGAAACTTTCGACTGCAACAGTTCCTCATTTTCCAGCATCATCAGTAACTCCGAGTTATCCATTTCAAGCATCATTCCTGTTATTTTTCCAACATCAGGGCCCTGATAGATGCGCTCAATCAGCGGATAAATACGCTCACCAAGCATTTGTTTTTGTTCCTATAAGCAGGCCTTATA